GGAGGGCGTGGAGCTGGCCCCCACCTCTGGGGCTCGCTCTGGGCAGGACCCCGAAGATGATGTTTGCCTCCGGGATTCTCTCTCCTGCGCTGACTTCAGCCTGTTGGTTGGCGAGGCCTGGATGGGCAGGAAGAGGCCGGGAAGGGTGTTCACAGGGAGGAAGGACAGCCCCGAGGGCCGCTCTGAGCGCGCCAGCACCTGGCGCAGGCTGGCACGTGGCACAGCTGTGAGAGCTGGAAGGTGGGCTTCCAGTCGGTGGGTGGATGCAGGGAGAAGGGCGCTGCCTTGGGGAAGGCAGAAGAGAGGAGAAGGGAGCACCCAAACTTCGTGGATCGTTGGAGAGAATTTTAGAATTATTTTTCTCATTGTGTCTTCGGCGACTGTGAACTTCCACAGCTGGAGTGAGCAGGGCTGAGGTCTCTGCTCAGGATCAGCCCCAAGAGGGAATCCAGTGTCTCCCTCTCCTGGGGGTTGGGGTGGGGGCAGGAAGAGCCAGCACCTGCCTCCGCTGCGGGGTGTGGTCCGCTGTCCTGTGGCTGCTCACAGCGCCCCGAAGTGGCAGTGAGGAGGCTCAGAGAGCTGGAGATCACTCAGGCCCCGTCTGAGCCAGCCAGCCTCGGCTTGTAGGCGCCCGCTCCTGATGGGGTTCGGGGAGAGGGCAGTGGGGGCCAGGCTTTGTCAGAGAGCAGCGGGCATGCCAGGAGGTTCACCCAGAGGAGAAGCAGCCTCTGCCGGGTTCTCTCCAGGGGCTGAGCCAGCGCTTTGTGAAGCGCGTGGGCTGGGACCTCGAGGAACCTGCGTGCCGGCTTGGTTTCCAGGGATCTGACAAGCCGCCTGGAACTGGTTCTTGGCAGTACTACCCCTCCCAGATGTGCCAAGAGGGCTGAGGGAATCCCGTGCAGCCGCTCCAGGCCCTACCAGGCTCTGCCAAGGAGACACTGACAAGGGGAAAGGCAGGCAAGGCCTCTGGGCCCGTAGCCTGAGCCCAGGGCGCTGCGGGAGGAGCATCTTTGGGAAGGAAGCCTGGACGGCTGGGCTGGAATGAAGCTTTCCCCTGGCGCTCCCAAGGCAGCTCCTCCAAGGGGCAGGTGGGGCAGCCACATGGGAAGCCTGCACAAGGTCTCGTGCCAGGCGCCCGTGGCTGTGCTGGGGATGTGGACGCAGTCCCAAGGCCTGGTGGTGCCAGGGTCAGGTCCTTAAGACGGGTATGACCATCCCCATTTTCTAGGTGGAAAAACTGAGGCCCAATTAAGGGGGGCACTCGGCTCCTCAACTGCTTAGCCAAGATCTGCATCTAGACCAATGCAGAAGAGGTAGGCTTGGAATCTTTGTCTTTATGGCCTTTGGCCTCTACCATCATCTTTTGCCTGTGTCCCCACCTGGCCTGGCTAGCAGTTGGAGGGTCTCTGGGGGAGGCCCCTAATTTCCGAGAGCCCCTGAGCTACATGTGGGGTCAGTGCTCCTCAGGCCCATGGTCCTTGCCAGGGCAGGGTCTGCTGTTCTCCCCGCCCCTTCCAGCACCATCCCTCAGGCCCACTCGCCAACCCTGGGGTCCTCATCAGACCCTTCCCCTGTCTGCCTTTGGGCCTCTGCTCAAGTGCCATTCCCCTTCCAGCCAGGGCCTGTGGGCATCCCCTTCCTGGCTCTCAGCCCTGTCAGGGGCAAGGAGAGTGCTCACGAGGCTTCCTGGGGCAGGTGTTGGCTGTGCCGAGGTGGGGAGGGCCTTCAGAAACCCAGGTGCCCATGCACAGTGGGGCTGGCTCAGAGGCAGCGGCCTTCTGCCTGGCCCCGGCTCTGCACCCAGAGGCTGGGGGAGGGGGTGGGGCAGGGCCTGGCCTGCCAGTCAAGTTTGAACTTTATCCTGGGGGATGGTTGTAGGGGAGGCGGGAGGCAGCAAAGGGTTTCCAGCAGAGGAGGCCCTGGGAGGATTCCCATGTTCCGAGCCCCTCTGAGGCTCTCTAACACCTAACAGGGCTGGGGCCGCGTGTGAGAGTAATGGAAGTGTAGAGGGAGAGAGGGACAGACAGAGGACATTTGTCTTGGGGATAGGAGACAGCAGGATGGCTGGCCAAGCAGAGGCTGGGTGTAATTACCCAAGGTTTATGGAGCTCCGGAGAGAACTGTAGAATTGCCTTCCTGTCTCCTTCCCCTGACGGTGGCCTCCGTCAGCTCAGGGCTGAGGGAGTGGAGCTGAGTAATGTCCGTTCTTCCCTCAGCGCCCTTGACCTCTGCTCTGAGCCCAGCAGCTCCGACTATGGAGAGGGAGGCCCTTGTGAGGAACTGGGCAGAGGCGAGTGTCTTCGCGTCAGCTGTGATGGGCGGGGGGACAGTGAGAGACAGTGGTGGTGCTGAAGGGGGCATTGGGACGGCTCACACAGGAGGGGCATCTGAACTATCCCCAGGCTAATAAGAAATCGCAGGCTCGAGAGGAAAGAGCGAGGCTAGAGAGGCACCGGGCTCCGCGTGGGCCAGGCAGCAGGAAAGCAGGCGGCAGGACAGGACCCTCACGTGGTGGGGAGAGCCCAGGTGCAAGGGACTGGGCCTGAGCAGACAGCAGGCACGGAGGGTGCAATGCCAAGCTCGTGCCCTCTCCTCTCAGGGACCCTGTGCTCATGGCAGCTCCCCCTGTATGTCCTCTGACTATCCCTTTAAGGTCCTGACCCCAGTGCCCTTGGGAGACACCTGTGCCCCGCAGGTCAAAGCAGAAGAGGTGAACACCCAGCAAAACCACACGAGGACGGTGTGGGCTGGGTGTGGCGGGGACCGTGGAGAAGGAGCAAGTGCCCAGGCTCTCAAAGGGCACAGGTGCCACTGAACTCCACCAGTGCTGCCATTAGGGAATCGCATGCACACAAAAGTCCACATGCACCTGTGTGTACACACACCAGTGCTGCCATTAGGGAATCGCATGCACACAAAAGTCCACATTCACATACAGTCCACATGCACCTGTGTGTACACACAGAAGTCCACATGCGCATGCACACACAGAAGTCCACATGCACATTCATGCACAAACAAGTCCATGTGCACTCACACACAAGTCCACATGCACATACAGTCCACATGCACATGTGTGTATACGCAAGTCCACATGCACACACGAGTCCACATGTACACGCACACACAGAAGTCCACGTGCACATGCATGCACATATAGTCCACACACACATGCATGCACACAGTCCACATGTGCATGCATGCACACACCATCCATGTGCATGTGCATGCACACACAAGTCCACATACACACATGCACACACAAATCCACATGCACATGTGTGCACAACAGTCCACGTGCACATGCATGTACACACGCACACTTCTTCCCAAAGCTTTGGTGGCATTGTCAGGCACACTCCATGTGAGCATGTTTTCTCAAAGGGTATGCTGTCACCCCGCAGGTCCTGTGTGCTTTGTCTGAGGCTGGAGCAGGGTGAGAAGGAACATTTGCTGAGCCCTGCTCGAACTGATGTATCTTATAATACCCGTTGTGTGGGGCAGACAAATAGGCTCGCCGAGTCCTGCCACTGCTGAGTGCCAGGGGAGGGGGTGAACCTCTTACCTGCTGGCTCGCCATCCCGGTCTGGGGAAGCCACCTGCTGGGCTGTATCTCTTAGTGACCAGAGAACTGCCTGGGCAGAATGGAGCTGTGACGTGTGCTCGGGCACACCGCTAGACCTGCCCTCAGGGAAGGCTGGACAATATTCCATTATAAGCACAGACCACATCTTGTTTATCCCTCATCTGCTGGCAGACACTTGGGTTGCTTCCACCCTTGGCCATTGTGAATGCTGCTACTATGGACATGGTGTAATGATATATGTGCAAGTTCACTTCCAGTTATGTTGAATAGGGACCTAGAAGTGGAATTGCTCGGTCAGGTGGTAATTCGGTTTTAAACTTTTTGAGGAACCTCCAAAATGTTTTGCAGAGAAGCTGCACCATTTTACATTCTCACCAACAGTGCACGAGGGCTCCAGTTCCTCTGCATCCTTGCCAACATTTGTAATTTCCTGTTTTTTAAATAGGAGCCCTCGTGGTGGGTGTGAGGCGGCACCTCATTGTGGTTCTGATTGTGTTTCCTTGGTGGCCGTGATGTTGAGTCATGGTTTTGTTTTCACATGAATGCGCTGTGTGTCTTGTCGCGTGAGCTCTGCCCATCTGTGCGCATTGCTCCCTAGTGTCAGGGCAGTGTGAGCGGACTGTGAAGTCTCTGCTCATTCTACTGCTGATGGCCATTGGGTGGTTTCCCATTGGAGGGATTGCAAGGAGTGCTGCTAAGAACATTCTAGAGCAGGACTTTTGGTGAACATAGTCTTGTTTTTAAGTGTAAGCCACTCCTCTTTGGACGTTAGTGTTGCATACGTAAAACAATCAATAAAGTGCATGATGCATCTTCCCTGAGGGCCCTTCAGAGCTTCCTCAGGCTGCTAGGAGCCCCACAGGACAGGGCAGGCCACCTGTCCACCACGCCCTCCTGCTCCCTCTCCCGGTGGCCCGGATGCGCCCTCAGTTTCTAACCTGCTCCCTCAGAGCAGCCGCCTTTGGCCCGGACGGCGCCCTGCCTTCCGCTGTCCCGAGAGCCCGCTCTCACCACTAAGCTGGGCAGCTGAGCGTGTGACCGGGTCCTCCCTGTGCCCAGGGATCTTCGGGCAGCGCCTGGAGGACACAGTGCACCACGAGCGGAAGTATGGCCCGCGCCTGGCGCCCCTGCTGGTGGAGCAGTGCGTGGACTTCATCCGGGCGCGTGGGCTCAGCGAGGAGGGGCTCTTCCGCCTGCCCGGCCAGGCCAACCTGGTGCGGGACCTGCAGGACGCCTTTGACTGTGGGGAGAAGCCGCTGTTTGACAGGTGAGCTCCTGGGGGAGGTACGAAGATGGGGCCCCTTCCCTTCCCCCGTGGCTGGGTGGGCTGGTGCAGGAAGCCTGGCAACAGGCTGGTGGGCAGGATGGTTCCGCGCGGGGGTGCATGTGCACTCGGCCAGCCCCCCAGCGGGCAGAGCACAGCCCCCAACCCCGCAGCAGCCCTCGGTCTCCTCTCAGGGGCGGTCCTGCCACAGACCAGGCCACTCACATCCACCGGGCTCTTCCCTTTGCCCCTCAACGCGACCCAGGCCGAAAGGGAGGGCCTCGCTGCATCGGGACTGAGGCCCCGGGGGTGGTCTGTCCCTGGCTGCTTCCTGCCGTGACCCGCAGAGCTCCTCCAGCGCCAACACGGAGCAGTCGCTGTGGCCCCCCCATCCTATCAGGTTCCTGGATGGGGAGCGAGCCTGCCCCACCTGTCCTGGCCAGCGCCCATCCTACCCCATCGCTGGGGCTCACAGGGCCCAGGGCTCACCCTCTGGGTGGAGTCAGCCTCACTCAGAGCCAGTGGCTGAGAACAGGGGTGATGGGGCTGTGTGGCATCTCCTCTCTGAAAGGAGCCGACCCATCAGGACAGTTGTCCATGGGGAGTTCCTCCTGCCCTTTCTCCGTGGATCTGCCTTCACAATTCGGCCTCCTCGGCCCCAGGATAGGTCCATGGGTTTTTGCCAGCAACCGGGGCCTCCCTGGCCTCCTTCTGGGGCAGAACACCCCACCCTCTAGCTTCTGCCCAGACCCGTCACCGAGCCAGGAGGTCTGTCAGCTCCTTTCTGCAGATGTGGAGCCTGAGCCTGGCCACTGTTCCCCAGAGGGGTCTGCCCAGGAGGCACAGGGTCCTCTCACCAGGAGCCTCATCTTTATTTTGTTAATCCATTTTCCCATTGGTTTTTAGAGAGAGTGCAAGTGAGGGGGCGAAGCAGAGAGAAACAGCGATGTGAGAGAGACACACTGATTGGTTGCCTCCTGCACATGCCCCAACTGGGGCCAGGGATCCAGCCTGCAACCAGGGTATGTGCCCTTGACCGGAATCGAACCCACATCCCAACACTGTAATCATTGAGCCAAACCGGCTAGGGCTGGAGCTGCATCCAGATACTCTGAACTTGTGGTCCATTCTGAACCTCTGCCTGCCAGGACTCTTCCATCCTGTGCCTGTGTGGTCCAGGGCATGGGTGGAGATGTCTGTAAATACTGCCCCTTCTGTGATTCCTGGAGACTCACCCTGGACCTTGGGCTCTGGCTGCTTTTCCTTCTAGAACTGCATCTGCACCCACAGCCGCCATTCTTCCCCCTTCTCACCCCCCGTGGGTGCTCTGGCCCTGCATCTGTACCCACCCCCTGTGTAGGTCCCAAGGCTCCTCTCCTCATTCACTACCCAACAGAGGGGTCCAGCAGCGACTCCCCTCACCGCCTGCTGGGCCAGGCTTTCCAGAGAGGCTCGCTCCCTAGGCACAAACCATACTCATTGTCTGCATGACGAGGAACGTCCGCCCCAGGTCCTGGACTCCCTGTTCCATAAAGAGCCCAGAAGCCTGGAAGCCTCCTCACCAGAGCTGGCTCCTACCCAGCCCTCCCCCCACCCTGGGCCTGGGCCTGGGGCAGCTCTCCCAGGCCTGCCCCCCTGCTGCCCAGTCTGCTTTGAGCCACACCTGCGGGCTCCCCCAACTATCGCCTTAGCCCTTTCTTACTTCACTCCAGTTTCTTTACTCACCCACTGAGTGAGCGCCCTGCAGGCATAGGGTGTGGCCACGAACTAGATGGACAAGGTCCCGCCCTCCAGGGGCCAGCACAGATGGCTAACAAGGCAGCAAACGCTTTGCTTGCCAAGACTAGGACCAGGACCGGATCCCAGAGCCCAGGCCGCTGCCCTCCACGGGGCCCCCTCAGCCTGGGCAGCTCTGAGCTGGAAGACTGAGGACTGGGAGCGGACTCGTGGGGTGCTGGGGCGCTGGGGCCCTGGGGCCCTGGGGTGCTGGAGATAGGGTGAGGAGCAAAGAAGCCCAGGTGTCCATTGTGTGAGCGGAACCCAGAGGTCAGGGGCAAGGGTCTGACCTCTGACCTGCATGCCCTGGTGGCCAGTGCCCTGGGCCTGGACTCTTTGACATGGCCCTCCCCCTCCATTGATGTTTCTCTCTGTCTCTCCCCCTCCCTTCCACTCTCTCTGATGGAGGGCAAGTGGGGGATGGGCACTCTCAGGCTTGGGCAAGGACAGCTGTGTCCCTGGCTCATTGCCCCCCCACCCTCCTGTGTCTCTTTTGTGCACATGCGCACACACGTGCCAGGCGTGGGAGCAGAGGCTGCTCCTGGGGGGGCCTGTGCTGGCCACTCCTGCAATCCTCTGGCCCCATGCCTCTCGCGTGTCCCCCTCTGGCAGCACAACAGATGTGCATACGGTGGCCTCCCTGCTGAAGCTCTACCTGCGGGAGCTGCCCGAGCCCGTGGTCCCTTTCGCCAGGTACGAGGACTTCCTCAGCTGCGCCCAGCTGCTCACCAAGGACGAGGGGGAGGTTAGTGGCTCCCAAGGACTCGCCCTGGAAGGTGGGCCTGCGGGGGAGGGGGGTGTGTGTGTGGAGTCAGGACACAGAACTCTGACCTTCATCATTCTGTGGCACAGAGATGCCGCCTGCAGTTCGCTCTGTGTGTGGTGGTGGTGGGGGGGGGGGCAGGAGAACCCTCTGGGGGAGGCAGACTCCTCTGTCCTGTGTGGGGCGCAGTCTGCAGGATCCTGCTTGGGGCGGGGCTGGAGCGTCCCCTCTGGGAGGCCCCCCCTGTGAGGCCTGGGTCTGGGGGTGGGGCACGGGGCCATGTTCTGGTCATGCCCCAGGACACCACACAGTAGTACTGGCCCTGCACTTACCTGCACTGCCCAGGTGGCCCCAGCGGCCAGAAACAAGCAGACCTTCCCCTGTTCGCACCTGCCCCTTCCTAAAGAATTCACATGGGCACGTGGGGACGAGGCTCCTGCCCCCTCCGCAGTGCCTGCCGGGGGAAGGGCTGTTTGCTTCCCTGTGGCTGTGTGGGAGATGAGGGGTCTTTATCTGGCAAATATTTGTGTCTCGATAAGCACTGGCCCTGACATTCCTCCAGGAGGTCACAGGCCGGCCGTTCCTCGGCCTGCTCCCCAGAGGGAGGTGGAGGTGGTGGTGCCCTCTGGTCACCCAGAGGCCAAATGGGTGGCTGGAGGTCTGGCCTCTGGTGCCTGCCGCCCCCTGCCCACCTCCCTCCTCCCTGCCCACCTCCCTGTCCCTGCCTCGGGGAGAGAAGGGCCAGCTGCTGGTCTCAGAAATGCTGTTTTTCTCTCCCAACACCAAGGGGACTCTGGAGTTGGCTGAGCAAGTGAGCAGCCTTCCCCTGGCCAATTACAACCTGCTCAGTTATATCTGCAAGTAAGTGGCTGGGGCAGGCAGGGCTGGGCCTTCTCCCACCTACTCTGCTCCCTGAATGTCAGTCAGCCAACAGGGACCTTGGAGATCGGCCCGGCACACCCAGCGGACAGCCTCCGCGGGGCAGGCAGCGTAAAGTCCTGCGATCCGCAGGGAAGATCCATTGGAAAGAATGGGACGGCCCCGTGCTTTCTGCCTCCTCTCAGTGCCTCTCGCAGTCCCTGCCCCAGGAGGCTGCCTCCTGACCATGACCCCAGCTCCGGTGCTGGGAGCGGGTGTGCAGGGTGGGGGCCTGGGCCCTCCCAGACCTCTGCCCCCACTGCAGGCGGGACAGTCGTGTGTCCCCCTTCCATGCTGACAACCACTGGCTTTTGCTTCTGCTGCCCCCCACCCCGGGCCCCAGGGGAAGCTCTGCCCTCTCTGAGCGGGCAGGGGCAGCTGGCTGTGCCCTTGGCCCTGGGAATGTGGGCGTGGCTGGGTGTGGGCGCCAGGCAGCTCCCAGCACAGCTGGCGGCAGGATTTGCTTCTCCACCCACGGCCGCTTCCTCACCTGCAGGTTTCTGGATGAAGTTCAGTCCCACTCCAATGTCAACAAGATGAGCGTCCAGAACCTGGCAACCGTTTTTGGACCTAATATACTTCGGCCACAGATAGAAGACCCAGTGACCATCATGGAAGGTAACCGGTGTGGGGGTGTGGGGAGGGGGTGCCCACGTCACCTGGGAGACATCCCCGGCCTGTGCCAGAGCCTGTGCCCGAGAGCGTGGATGGTCAGGCCCTCGCACCCTCGGCAGCACAGGGTGACATGGGGCAGCACAGGGTGACATGGGGCAGCTCTGATGCGCAGGTTCTGGCTTCCAGCCCTGCCTGTCCGGAGCGCACCTCGCCGCCTTACTGGGCACGGTGCCCGCTTCCGCCTCCTCCCGCACCTGCTGGATGGAGCGCGCTGGGCGGCTGTCCCAGGAGGGCATTCCTGGGCAGGACCCCTCTGTCTGGGCCTGGATTTGGAGGGTGGCTGATGGCAAGCTCTTGTTGGTCCTCTCTTGAGGGACAGCCTGCCCCCTGGGTCCCAGCCGCAGCACCCAGAGCCCGGCCTGGAGATGCCCACAGCCAGGCCTTTGTTCCGTCTTCCTGGCAGGCACGTCCCTCGTCCAGCACCTGATGACCGTCCTGATCCGCAGGCACAGCCAGCTCTTCAGTGGGAGGGCCCCAGAGGGGCCGGCCGCACCCCACGGGGGCCCACCCTGCACAGTGGGCTGGGGCTCGGAGGA